ATAGAGTAGCAACGAAAATAATTTTATGGTTGGGGGTCACCACAACATGAGGAAGTGTATTAAGGGGTCACGGCATTAGGAAGGTTGAGAACCGCTGACTTACACACACACACACACACTGTGTACGCACACATTCTCTCACATGCGCAGATGCTCAGTTCTCCACACTGGGAAGGCAGCTGCCCTCAGGGTAGGATGGGGGCTGCGTGGGCATCCAGGTCTCACTTATTTCATCATCGTGGGTAAGTCACTGACGCTCCCCTAAGCCTCAGTTTCCTTATGTCTGAAACGAGGACAATCGTAATGCTAACACCTAACACACAGGGTGCTCTCAGCAGTAATGCACGGAATGTGCTCTGCGGCTGGCAGGCGCAGAGCAAACACTCCATCGACATTATTGATATTGTAAATAATACCACACTATTCATGATATTCTGTCTCCTGATTTTTTTATGCAATAGTATGTCAGGGTTGGGTCTCCATGTCAAAAACATAAAATAAATCAATACTTAAATACATTCATAGAAATCCAACACATGTGAGGATGGACCAGATGTATAGGCCATCATTTCTTTAACTGATTTGTCCTCTACTGATGGGCAGTTAGGTTATCATTTCCAGCCTTCCAAAACTGTGGACAATGCTGCAATGAGCAACTGCCTGCACGCTTAGGTCTGAGGACCTTCCCAGGATAAATTCCTGAGTGAAATTTTTAGGACAAAGGAATGCATGTTTTACATTTTAATAGCTATCACCAAACTGTCCTCAGAGAAACTGTAATCACCTCTAGTGCGAGCGCGTGCAGGCTCCTGCAAACAGAAACCGTGAGGGATTTCTCCCGGTGACTGAGAACATCTGCTCATTTGCCCGCTCGATGTCTCAACCTCCAGATACTAGGAATGCTGCCCAGCACGCCCGTCCTGTGACCTGCTATCACCTCTCCAGGCTATTCCCATCCCAAAGCCCTCGCCCACTGCGCCTCCTGGTCTGAGCAGACCCGCGGTGCCCCAGGTGTCTTGCTTCCCCTCACCTGTCTTTACCGTCACTGAGGTCTGCTGTCCTAGTCCCAGTCCCCGCGCCGGTTCTCCTTCTGCCCCCATGCGCCTGCGTTCTCGCCAACTCCTTAAGGAGAAGCCAAGCTTGCCGCAGGCAGCACCCACCAAACGCGGCTCCCGTCACCTCCACTCACTGGGCAGCGCTCCGGGCCTGCGTCAGGCATCAAGCACAGAGACTACTGTTCGGTCTTGGAAAACTGCCCGTCGGCACTTTACAAATGCTGAAAAGTGGAACCCTGAGCCCTTCCATCTCTTCTCCCCCCACAGCGCTTTTATGCCTCACAACAATGTTCTGTGATAGACTTCGACCAGGTCTCAACTCAGTCAGCAGACGCGGGTGCAAGCTCTCCTCATTTCCCAACTGTCTACACACTACACACCTACATGCTGTAGCTACAAATCTGGAGAGTTCATCCAGCCAATTCAAAAATCCACAAACGCCTACAGCGGTTTATTTTTTGAAAGGGGATAAAAGCAAGTTTAGAAACGCCTGAGGGACTCTGCGGGACGCCCGCCTTGTCCTGAGCGTCGGCAGGTACCTGGATGTTGCTGGAGATCTCACTGGTCAAGGCCACGTGCAGAACCACCAGGGGCTCCCCCGGGGTGGTGCAGTGAGAGAAGAAGTAACATCTTCTGTAAGGGCCAACGCGTCGCTTCATATCCATCCAATTTTTCACAGGATGCACAGCCTCAGACCTGACGAGAAGGTTATAAAGAGTTAGGACAAACGTACAATTTACAGGCTAATTCACCATTGCTGATTCTGATTTGTATTAGTCACTAACGTCAAATAAATTCTTTAAATACAGCTTCAATCAACGCTTCAGGAAAATTCAAAGAAAATCATTTTAACATGAGATAGCACTGACTGAGAGGAACTGTAGTTAATGACCATTTTTACACCCAAAATTGTGCTCTAATTTTTAATACCTGGTCTTAAGATTAGTTTGCGAGGCCATTGGGAAGCAGTTATGCAGAAGATCTGAATGCAGAAACCTAACCAGACGCTCTCTTGGTGAACATTTTATGTCTTTTATTTCCTTGGAATCTCTGCAGTTTGAAGTCAATGTTGCAAACACACAGCTCTCGGTTCCATTTGGCTACAATCTCATCCAACCACTATTTTGTTTTCAACACATGAAACAGCGGCAGGCACCATCGGCCCCTCCAGTCTGTCACGCTTCACAGAGTATAGCATTTTCCAACCCTTAGCTTCTGTAAGGCCACATGGAATGCGAAGGGGTGGTTAAGAGCGTCTCCTGTCTGTAGGAATTGCTGTGACACACTAGCCTGCATTTCCTTGTGTCTGGGACTCACTGGAATTATGTATTGATAGAGTTAATTCAGACATTTTATCCAAGGGAGAGATTTTAACAACTAGATGAGATAGATGCCGTTTGGATTACTACATGAAAACGCCTGGTCCAGTGAATTCATACAACTCTGATAATGGGGTCTTGGGAAAAAGGGGGCCCACGTGCTTTAAATATGAGGACATAGGGAGACCTTGCGTAGAGGTTTGCCGGCTGATCGGTTGTAGCCATGCCCTTTCCTCCTCCACAACCGCGACGTCCGCTAGGACAGCCAGAGCATCGTGAGTACTGTGTTTTGGTTTTAAAAGGCTTGGAACAAGATGTGCATGTGGCTAGAGACTGGCTTTCAGCTGAAATACAAGAAATGTGAAGACCTGAACACTCACTCGCTGACTTTCTGAAGCACCTCACAGGACGAATGCCAGGTCACCCGTTCCAGGTTCAGGAACCCTGAAGAAAACCATTCTGAGAGCATGCCTTTCAGCACTCCATTCATTTCCTGAAAAGGAGAAGAGAAAGTGTCAGCCTTCCCAGGAGAAGAGATCAAGCCCGTCTCTGCATCGTCGCCAGCACAGTGAATTAAAACACCAAAACGCGACACCAAAGGAGACTGTGCAAGAGGATGAACTCTCCGATGGCCTTTTCTGAGGCCGCTCTACTGAACTCCTCTTATCTCAGCCAAGTTAGACTGAATGCGGCTCTCCATTTAGACTTTACTCCTTCAATCTGTAAGATACCTGAATGGGAGTATTCAATCTGCACTAAGTTTCCCAAATCAAATAATATATTCCAATTCATTCACCGTCTCGTGAACACCACTGAAAATATAGTTACTATAACAATGCCTGTACAGGCAGCAGGGAGCTTAAGTCCTCATCCCCTCAGGAACAGGTTTTGATATGCCAAAACATCATTCCTCTTTCCTAAGAGAAGCAAGCACTGGCCCCACTGACCGGAATTTGTCAACTCTGAGATGCGTATTTTCATAGTTCAACACCTCTGAAGTCAGGATGCATCTTTCAAATGATGGCAGGTCACAGTTTAACTGGTAGCATTTTTTTTCTCAGTGGAACATAAAATAATAGTGTCTCTGAAAATCAATGCATTTAGATTTGATGAAATTATTCTAATTTCAGTTATTTATATCTGATCTATTTCCAAAAATTATGAGTCAACTTTACCATCAAAGATACACTTGCACCAAAACCTTTCAGGAAGACTAGAACAAGGTGTGCATGAGGAAACGAGATCAGCAGAGCCATCTCAGGTTAGCCTGCTGTATGACATGTGCATGTAACAGCAGTGAGCGGCGAGGGGAGGCGGGTAAATCTAGGGCCAACTGGGGGAAGACACAAGCAGTCAGACCTGGACCGAACTTAATGTAAAGACGAGCTTTGGAAAAGCTGGGGCTGTCCAAAGAAGTCATCTTGGGACAGTGTGAACCTCCCCATGGGATGTGACCGAGCACAGGGCTGACAAGAAATGGGTGAAGCTGTTTTAAAAGGGATTTAAGCACTCCACAGGAGGCTGGACCAGATGCCCTTTGCAATTCCTTTGACCTCTCCACTGATTGTGTAATCTAGTCTCATTTACTGGGCTCTGAGCTTTGTAAAGGCAGAGGTCATTTCGGATTCATTCCTCTGGTTCCCACAGCATTCACCTGGGCCATCCATGTGGAAGATGGCCGAACAGACTGACATTAAATGAAAAAGAGAAAAACTGGGGAATGGTGATTAGGAAGTGGCAGGAAGGGAGGACAGGAGGTGTCAGTTGCTGTGCAATACAGACTGGCTCCTTAGAACACTGTACTTACGGCACTGAACTACTTCTTAATCTTCCTGGGGGCCTCACAGCCTCTTGAATATGTGCCAAAAACCAGGATCCTCGCCCCAGAAAAATGCAAACATATTACATTTTGCATACAATCTCCTGGGGTTCATGGACTCTTTGAAACACATCTGTGGATCATTTCCAGGGGTTCATGGACCCCGCGTTAGAAACCTCTGCACTGAATGGTTAGCAATGGATCAGCCAAGTTCCATGTAAGACATACTGGCATCTCTACTACACTCATAACAGAAAAAAGCCAGAAATAGCTAGTTTCAGTATTAATTCAGTATTAATTATGAAGGAAATGGTTTCGCTGATGAAAGCTCTGTCTAAAAGTTTCTTCATTCTATTTTGGGCTATTGACAACTATAAAATGGAACACTGGTACATGAGAACTGGGAATCTAGGTTAAAGGTTACAAGTCTCCACTGCTTAGTTCTGACACGGGTACAGCTGTTCAGGCTGCAATTAACCACTCCACGCAGCAAGGTTTCTGGATCACAGAGAACAGGAGGGAAACAAATCGCTTGTGCTTTCTGCTCATTAATCCTGTAATCATTTATCAACAATCCAAGACTCGGGGATACAACTGCTAGGAATATTGCGGTGATGCCAAACAAAGTCAGTGCTAGGTTTCAGTTTTTTCTGTACTGCTAATTCCAGTTTTCCTGGATGACAGTTTAGAAGGCCAGTCAACCCTCCCTTTCAGCAGAGAAAAAGCTGTCTCCCATACTCTCTTCTGAAGTTTCTGGCCATCAAGATCTCCCCATTTTGGGTATGTGAAGAATGGTTACTTCTCATTGCTCAGAAGCCCTGAGCTGGGGAAGGGAGCTGAAAGCAATCGGTGAGGGTCACTGAACTAAAGCTACAATATTTTGGGTACAATTCCAATTCCAACTCATGCCAGCTGCTACCCACCACGTGGCTAGGGCGCACTTTCCTATCTATGAATAAGTTCTTTTCTAGTCTAGCTAAGCACAGAATTTAGAACCAACAAAGACCACTATACTACCTTAAAAGCAAGACAAGCCACCAAAAGAGGTTGTAAAACAGTGTCTAGCACAGCTGGGCACTGCAACGGTGGGGATGCCGGCCGTTTGACACACGTTTAACGCCTTCTGCTAGGTTCCATCTCTGCTTCTGTTAAGGCCCGCACATCTCTCCTTTTACCACGTCTATGTTTAAAATGCCCATCAAGAAACCCTCTTGGGCCGGCCGAGTGGCTCAGTTGGTTCGATTCCCGGCTTGAGCTGAGCTGCCAACAGGTGGCAGGATGGCTCAGCTAAAAAAATTTAAGAAGAAAAAAAGAAACCCTCTCATTTTCTAAATGCCAACTTCCCTCTAGTGCACACAAATCGCTGAACAATGCTCAGGCCTTCTGCTATAATGGGGTTCAGTTCAGTTTCATTGGGATTTTATCTGTAAGAAACCTAACTCTTCAACCCAAATGGGCCTTTGGGAATGTCTCTGGAGAAAAACAAAAGCTTATAAACCACACACACAGAATGCACACACAGTCCCACATACCCCCCACCCCAACACACACACACACACACACACACACACACACACACCAAACCTATAAGCAGAGCTGGACACACCTATAAATTCACAGGGCATTTTGTTTAGGAGGTGTCAGCACACGGCATTCACATATGGGATCTGCCATCTCAAAAAACACAACAGATATTTGACCTTTGCCAGGTTATAAAAACTTTCTTCAATGTAGCACTTTTATCTTCCCAGGCAGAGACTTGAGACTGATTCTGAACTTCCAATCTAAAAGGATTTACGACTCCCTATGGGAGAAAAGAAACCTTGCTGATTTAAAATATCCTAGGAGAGGTACACCCCCACCAGGCCTCAAGGCCAAATTGGTCTTCACACACTTGACATGGAAGCCTCAATCTTCGGATTCTTTCCGTATTTCCAGTTATCACCTTGGTCAGGGACCAACGTCTTGACAAATTGTGCCCTCGTCCATAAGCAGACTTTTACCAAAGCTCCACCATATCCCTCAGGGCATTTCTTAGAAGAGAAGCAGGCTGACCTTGAGCACACACACCCACCACTGGCTGAACCTTTCACCTCAGTGCAGAGCCAACTGGCCCAGGGAGTTAAGTGACTTGGCTAAGATCACTTAAAATCATGCCTTTAACCAGCGAATGGCAAAGACAGGGCTGGGAGCCAGCCTCTTCCTTCCACACCCAGCGCTTCCTCCACTATTGCCCGCTGTCCCTTAGGAGACCCCACATCAGCATTCTTTCTGGCCTCCAATTGCTGGTTACTCGACTAAGCCAGTGTGTGTCCACCTGACTTTACCTAGCAAGTCCTCAAATCAGCAGGGGCCAGGCCACGGGTGACAGGGTGCCTGCTGTGCGCACACAGTAAGGGGTGCTCACATCTGCATCATCTGCGGAGGGAGGGAGCCCCCCACGCCCCCAACCTCACAGGCTCCTGCCCTAAAACTTCATGTGCAAAACAAAGAGTTCTGGCTGTATCGCCTCTTTTAACTTGGATGTAAAATACAGAATGAGGTAGAAGGGAATCAAGATGGACATGAATTGATTCTGGTACAGTATCGGATTGCAGTGACAATTTCTATGGATTAAATAAAAAGGACTATTCTCTGAATGATTTCAATAATAGGGATTTTTAAAAGTTTTATGTAACTATGGAGAGCAAAGAGACTCACCAGATTTAGCCACTAACAGTCAGACACAGTAGAGAGAAGGGTGAGATTTCTAGACAAAGAAACGGAAGTGGCATGATCGAAACTAGAAAAGGCTTCTGCACCCAATGCGTCCGACCCCATGCAGTGGCACAGGTCAGGGTATCACATTTATCCTTTGTTAAGAAATATCTTCGTTCCATGTGGCTTTTTTCCATGTAGGTGCGCAATGTCTTTTTCCCTCGTGTGTGGACAGGGTTAAAAAACAAGGGAACCCTGAACGTCTGAGGACCTGGTGCTGCTGGCAGCTCTGGGTTTCCCCAGGGCAAGCTCCTCTCTCCTAACAAGTCAAGTTTCAATGTCATAGCTTTCAGCTGCCACGATGTTTCTTCTCACCAGCACAATAACCAAGTTTTCTCGTGTGGGCAAGAGCAAGGGGGTATATTCAGTAATGTGTCAGAGAATCAGAGGATTTGGAACTGGATGGGACACTGGAAATCACCCGGGGCCAATGCACGCTGAAATCTGCCAGGGGCACTCCAAATGTCTGATATGATGTCTCTCTCGGCTGTGCAGAAACCTCCAAGCCCTCTTGGCTTTCTTCCAGCCTCAGAACTCTGTGAGTGGAGCCGTCCGGCATCAAGACAAATGGGAACGATTGGTATGCTGATTCTGTCTTACAGTGGGGGTACCCAAAATGCTTCATTCATCATTTTGCTATGCAAGAAATTAAAGACAAGGTTCCAAGTTTTTAAGGAGCTGATCTAGTTGGGGGGGAGGGGGGGGGATAATACATTTCAAACACTAAATTCTGTGGTTAATATATAAAATGCAAGTGAGGGGGGCAGATAATAACACGTCATGAAGCTCAAAACCGGGTGAGACCACTTGGAGCCAGAGTGGTTGGCAAAGCTGAGTGAATGAGCTGGAGGTGGAGGTAGCCCTTACTCTACCAGGCCTCCCAAGCAGGAATCACACAGGGTTCAGGGACTTTCTATCCAAGAGCCTGGTTGGCTAGAGAGGAGAGTCTATGGAGAGGAGCAAGTAATGGAGAGTAAAGCTGGAAATGCCACCCAAGTGTGCATCAAAATGCCAAAGGAAAGACACTAAATGTGATCCTTCTGGCACGAGAGGCTTGATGATTTTTCAACAAGGGAGTAAAGACTGACCTGTGGTTTTAAAGAAAGATGGACACTGGGATTGCTGATAAGATTCTTGGAAAAAATAAATACAATCACAACTGGAGAATACTGAACTCCTCATTCACTGAAACTAAATAAAACAAAGCCATCCACTAACTCGATTGTTTTATCTTGCCCATCTCCCCATTTTATAGAAAAAGGCAAAAATTCTCAGAGAACAAATCTATTTTAGACCTAGTTAAATAATCAACTCCAAGAGTCATGATGTAGTGATGAACTATACAACTGTGGAGTCATCGAGTTGACGACTTGAGTTGCAACTCCCACCAGCTCTGTGCTCTGGGCACTGTACTTGACCTTGAAAAGTGTAAATCACCTTATCTGTTAACAGTTCCCTATGGCTTGCTGAGGATGAAATGAGCAAGTTCATGAAAAGCACTTAGCACCCACCATGCCTGCTACTAACTCTTCCCATTCTATATAGAATGGAATCTCCTGGATCTAGTGACCCTAGAGCAGCGGTTCTCAACCTTTCACAGGGGTCGCCTAAGACCATCGGAAAACACATATTTTCGATGGTTTTAGGAACGGAGACACCACTCCTCTATCCGTCCCCCGGCCCACATGCAGATACGCCCGCATACGAGTACCCGGCGACCCCTGTGAAAGGGTCGTTCGACCCCCTAAGGGGTCGCGACCCACAGGTTGAGAACCGCTGCCCTAGAGCCTAGAGCATGCCTCATACAAGATAAATACCAGCTGGCTGCATGTCAGATGGATGGATGGATGGATGATTTCATTCTGAGACAGGTAACATTCTACCTAATTCTCCAGTCTCCTATGCAGTTAGAATCAAGTTCCAGAAGGATCATCATCAAGTACTGGTTCCTGCTTCAAGAAAAAAAGCCTGCTTGGATGGCAGACTGTACCCAAGCCTCCCTCGAGGGGAGTCAGATGGGAATGCACAGTGTGTGGAACACGAATCAGACTGGGCTTGAGCCAGGAACATGATCAGTTCAACACAGTAAGACCACATGACTGATCTGGTGCTGGTGGAATTAACAACGGTAGCTTCTCAGTCTGTGAAGGTCTGAGGCCCTAGGTAACACTAGTATTGTAAATTAACCAGTTTCCCGAGAAATCAAATCATAGCCACCATTATCACTGAGATTAATCCCATCCTTAACTACACCCAATTTTTGCACATTTAAAGCTAAGTAGCCAAGAAAGTTTTTGATAACATCATAACTCATGATAAGGAGGATATGAAGTGTCGATTTGAATTACCGTATTTGTATGTAAAAGACTTGTATAAGACGCACCCTTTTTCGAAAAATTTGGGGTCTAAAAACTGGGTGCGTCTTATACAGTGGTTGTATGAGCCCAAAAACAAGCGTGAAAAAAGCAGGAAATGCAAATAAAAAAAAAATCTACAACCACTGTATAAGACACACCCAGTTTTTAGACCCCTAAATTTTCGAAAAAGGGTGCGTCTTATACATGGGGAAATACGGTATCTCTTTGCTCTAAATTCTTGGTTAAGTCATACCATCTCAATGTGTTTCCTTTACTGTGAACGTGGACATGCATATCACCTCTCTCTGAGGGAGGCAATAAACACTAAAACTATCATGCCAGTGTTAAGAGTTCTTACATGAATTAGGACATACCGTTCAATTGTTCAATTTTTTAAAAGCCAATTGCACAATAACATTCTGAATGTCAGAACTTCCTGAAACTTTTACATCATTCGTTTACTCAAAGAGCAAGTTAGTGGTCTCACCACATTTAATACCAAGTAGTATAAAAGGACTATATTCAACCATCGGCAATCTTTCAAGTCATCATTATCTAAATCTGAAAGTATGTATTTGCATCTAACATGAGCTCACGGTGCTGAGCACCTGATTACCTCAAGAAGTCAACTTAGAATCATGTTTCAGGGCTGCTCTCAAGAAAGTAAAAAGCCTGCCCAAAGTTCTGCAGCAAAGCGAAGTCCAGAAGGCACCCAGGCTCCTAGACAAGGGACGACCTCAAATTCCAGTCATCTTTGTGCTGTTTCCCTGGACTTCTTAGGACGATGGCTTATTTTTGCTGACACCATCCGGGTTTTCAGAAAGGCTGCCTGATGCCCAGTTTGGTATTCATTCAAGTATACTACATAGAGATGAAGTCTGCCAGCTAAAATAATAAAAAAACAGACTTTATGAAGCACTCTAACCATGAACGAGACAGGGCAGTCACCTTAAAGGTAGGCGGGTGTCCTTTCTGGTAAGCACTACATAGTAAGGACTGGAGCAAGACATGACTAGAAGGAGCTAAGGACTCAGAAAGTATGGGAAGGGGACGGGGTTCAGGGGTCTGTAACTCATGACGAGGTGTGCAGGGCTTCAGGCAGGGCAGGCGGAGTGTTTGGGGCTTGAGGAGCAGGTGAGGACTATACTGGGAAGACTACCAAGAGCGCACGGCGGGGGCGCGACCCGGGCTGGGCCTTACCCGGACGTGCGGCCCCTCCACCAGCTTGAGGGCCTGCGCCTCGAGCAGGTCGGCCCGCAGCTGCACCAGGAAGCGCACGCCGCCGTCCAGCTTGCTGATGTGATGGAAGAGGCCGCGGTAGCGCGGCACCAGGGCGTAGCGGAGCCGGTCCTCCGCCTGCAGCAGCACGGCGGTCTCCCGCGGCTGCTGGTGCAACTGGAGCACGCCAGCGCTCTGCTCCATCACTTGGCTGTGGTCCACACCGAAGCCCCCCGCCAGGCGGCCCAGCAGCTCGGCGCGCTCGGCAGCCTCGGCCAAGCCGCCGTAGAAGCTCACGAAGTCCGCGCACTGGTTCTCGGCTGGCGCCGGAGTCTTCTCGCGCAGCTCGTAGGCGGGCATCGCGGGCACGGAGCGGCGCAGCAGCTCGTCCATGGCCCGCTCTAGGGCGCCCGCCGCTGCCGTCCCGCTCGACAGCCGGGGTCCGGGCGGCCGCTGCGGCCGTGGAGGGAGCCGCAGAGGGAGGAGGCGCCGCGCCGTCAGCCCTGGCCCAAGGCCTCGCATGGCGCCAGAGGACAGCTGCCCAGAAAGCGCCACCGCTACCGCCGCTGTGTTTCCGGCTTCCGACTTCCGGCGTGCGCCCACCCCATTGGCCGAGGTAGGGAGACTGGCGGGGCGGAAGCCAATGGGAGGGCGCTGCGGCGGGACTGGTGCGGGGTGGGGACGGGGCGGAGCGCGGCCTGAAGCCAAGTGCGGCCAAAGGTCGCGGCCGGTTGGCGAGGCTGTCAGTGGCTTCAGGCTCGCCACTGCCCTGTCCCCTAGCCACCCAGTCACCGTCTTTGCCTATCTCCCCACCGCGTACGCGCCTCTTATTCTCTAGCCGAACTCTCCAACCTCAAGGTGCATCAGAGTCACCTGGGGAACGTGATACGCATGCCGATTCCTGGGCCCTCTCCCCAGAGATTCGGATCCGCTGTGTCTGGGGAGGAGCCAAGAAATCTGCGTGCTTACGAAGTTTTGCGGCGGTAATTCTCTGGCCAGGTAGCCTAAGTGCTCTCAGTTCCTTGTCTGGGTCTGATTATACAAGTGACTGCCAGAACTGCAACCCTTCTCTCTCCTGAGCTCTGGACCCAGGTTCCAGCTGCCTGCTGGAGAGCTTTTCATGGATGGGGCAAACAGGGCTCTCCTGAGCGTCTTGTTCTCAACCTGTTCCTCCTTGGTTAGTCCTCATTCATTCATTTATTCATTCATTCAACAGAGTGTTTAACCGCCTGGTATGTGCCAGGTCTTATATATGAGGCACGGGAATAAAACAATGAACCAGACACACCTGATCGTGCCCCATGGAATTTACAGCCTGATGAAGGAGGCAGACGATAACATAACTATAAATTGTGATAAGTGCTATAAAAGCAATAAACAGGGTGGAATGACATAATACAGCAGGGCCAGGGTGGACCTTCCACTGTGGGCAGGGTCATCAGGGAAGGCCGATCTGAGGAGGTGGCGTTTAAGCTGAGACCAGAAGCTGGTTATGGGTTGGGAAATGGGGGGAGGGGGCGGAACAAGCAGACCGATCCATTCTTCCAAGTTCAAAAGCACAGTTTTTTATGACCTCTGCCCTGCCCTTTGTCCTAACATCTGAATTTTATTGATTTCTACTTCAAAAGGTCCCCTGAATTCATCTCTTTTCTCTGGCCTACTGCTCCTATAGCCCATGTCACTTCTCACCAGGACCACTGCAGTAAACTCTTTGCTTCTAGGCTTAATCCTTTCAATCCTTTCTTTATCAGCTGCTAAGTGAACTTTCTAAATTATCCATCTAACCATGCCATTCACTTGCTCAACAACCAAATGCTTTAGCATAACAGGCAGAGCCCGGCACCAACGATCCCTGCTCCCATGTCTAGCCCCGTCTTTTGTCTCTTCCTACCTCATGTCCCTTACTCTTTGGCCTGGTGGTTCCCAGAATTTTAGATTTGGGATCCATTTTTAAAACACTGGGAGGACTGACACAGAACTGGGCGGCAGGAGAGAGAGGTGGTTGTTGGTGGTGGTGTGGGTGTTGACGATGCCTGGAGTCGCCTTCAGTCTGTGGCCTCCAAACACATACCCGTTTTAGATAGTCTCTCCTTACAGGAGTGAGATTTCTATCATGGTTAATGAGAGACCGAAGGGAGTTGGCAGGGCTTGATGCCCAAAAGAAAACTCAGCCAGCAGCCCAATTTGAAAAAGAGAAGCCTCATCTAGATACAAAGGATGAAAGAGAGCATCAAAGAGGTTGCTGGGGACAGATGGTGGACAGTGTGCCCAGGGCAAATGGGTCTGGGACAGGGGCTTTTTTGTTTCTTTGGGGATGTATAGGGCACCTGACAATCAGTGGGTACCGGAGGGCGAATCCCTCCCTTTCTTCATCACATGCTGGTAACTGATGTCCCATTAAAGTCCCTCTGACATCCCCCTGATGTGGATGTGAGGAGAGAGATGTGTGCAGGCACTGCCTAAGCCCTGTACACACCTCTAACATGACCAACGCTTTATTTAGCACCCACTAAATGCCATCCACTGTTATTAGCCTTTAAATGCATTATCTTGTTTAATCCTTACAATAACTCTCCCTGTAGGGCAAGAACTATTATTCCCATTTTATAAAGGTGGACACGAGGCACAGAGAGATACAGGGACTTGCATAAAGCCTTGCAACTAGTAAACAGCGGTGGTGGTTCCTAGATGTTGCCGAGACTGGAGTGTGGAAGGACTATTTGGACACAGGCTGGTCTTCCTCCAAAGTCTGTGCTCTTTCCACCCCAGCATCCTGTCTCTGTGAAAACGAGAATTTCTATGTTCTTTAGAGTTGAGTTTGTCTTGGTGCTGAAATGTTGCTGTAAATACAGAAGAGACAGGAATCTAATCAATACCAAATCCCTCCCACATGGCAGGTAGTTTACTGTAGTTAATCCTCATGTCAACTCTGTCAGGTAGTTGTCCCCAACTACAGATGAGTCCGAGGCTTGAGGGGTCACATGACTTACCAAGGTCATCTTGTTAGTGAGAGGCAAAGCCCAGGTTTGAGCCTTGTCTACCAACTTCAAAGCTTTTCCTTTTTCTAAGTTATGTTTCTACAGAGGTTTTCCTTCCTCAGAGGCCATACAGGAATCATCCATTTGCTCCCCAGTTCAATCCCAGTGATGATGGGAACACATAGGTATTATTTTATTATGGGGGGGGAGCGCTCAAAGGGAGGCGAGCCCTAAGAGATATTAAAATTTATGAAGCTCCAATAATGAAAGCTGAATGACTAGGAAAACATCTATGAAACATACAGGAAGTCCTGAGAGGGACACAGAAGTGCCTGGGAATGTCTGTGTGATAACGGTAGCATTCCACATTGGCTGGGGAAACAATGGTTAACTTAGAGAGGCTCTCAGGAAAAAGAGCAAAGGTGGTTCCTAACCTCAGACTGTACAAAATAAATTCTAGATGGTGTAAGCATTTACATTTTTACACAAAATGAATAAAGAGTATCAGAAGAAAATGATCTCAGGGCAAGAAAGGTCTTTTGAAGTATGGCACAAACTCGAATCCGTAAAGAGAAAATTGGTAAATTTAATCACATGGAAAATTCTTTAAAAGTTCTTTATGGTTAAAAATCGAGAGACAAAAACTACCTTGGGGAAATATTTGCAAATTATATCACATCCAAATGGCTAATTTCCCTAATGTATGAAGAACTACAAAGCCATATGGGAAAAGACTGTCAACAGAACAGAAAAATAGAGAAAGAATATGACCAGAGGGTTCTCAGAAAAGAAAACCGAAATGGCTCTTAGTGGGGCTGGCCGGCAGCCGGCATGAGCTTTCATGAGCTGCCGGGAGCCACCATAAGCAGCAGTCCAATGGCCGGAGAGCGACTGCCTCACCCGGAAAGAGCGCAATGATAATACCAACATGGGCCAGTGAAGCGAGTCCTCCACAACTAGACTGAAGAACAAAAGGACAGCAATTTGTCTGTTCCCCTCCCCGAATTCCTCAATAACATCTTAAAAAAAAAAAAAGTGCTCAACTTCACTCATAGGAAAATGCAAATTAAAACTCCAATGAGTTGTCAGTTTTCGTTTATTGGATTGTAATGATCAAAAAGTCAGATAACACCCTGTGCTCCTGAGTACACTGTGGGGGAAACAAGCACCCTCTTAGGAGGGAAAATAAGTGTAAATGGTGGAGTAGGCAATGGTTCTCAATATGACACTAAAAGTACAAACAACAATAGAAAAATTAAAATTAAAAACTTTTATGCATCAAAGGACACTGTTAAGAACGTGAAAAGACCACACACAGAATGGGAGAAATATTTGCAAATCATATGCCTGATAAAGATCTAGTATCCAGGATACTATATAAAGAATTCTGATTTAGCTATATTTTAATAAAAATCTTTAAAAAAAAAAGAATTCCAACAACTCAACAATAAAAAGGCAAACTACCCACTTAAAAAATTGGCAAAGGAATTTGAATAAACATTTCTCCAAAGAAGATATGCAAATAACCAATATGCACATGAAAAGATTCTCAGCATCATTAGTCATTAGGGAAATGCAAACCAAGGCCACAATGAGCTATCACTTCACATCCACTAGGTATGACAATAATAATAATAAATTATAATTTCTAAAAAGGGAATAAATGGTAGTGAGGATGTTGAGAAATTGTATCTCTCATACACTCTTGGTGGGCATGTAAAATGGTGCAGCCATTTTGGATATCATTTTGGCTGTACCCCAAAAAGTTAAATATAGAGTTACCATATAGCCCAGCAATTCCACTCGTAGGTACTCAAGAGAACTGTAAACATATATTCACAGAAAAACTTGTACGTGAATTTTCATAGCCATATTCTTCATAATAGCCAGAATGGACCCAAATGTCCATGAACTGATGAATGGGATAAACCAAATGCTGCATACATATACAAAGGAATATTACTCAGCCATAAAAAGAGTGAAATACTGATACATGTTACAACATGGACGAACCTTGAAAACATTATGCCAAGTGAAATAAGCCAGGTACAAAAGTCCACACATTGTATGATTCCATTTATATGAAATATCCATAATCGGCAAATCTGTAGAGACAGAGAATAGATTAATGGCTGCCTAGCACCGAGGGAGAGGAGAGCTGGGAGTGACTGATAATGGCTATAGAGTTTCTTTTCAGTGATAAAAATGTTCTGGAATTAGATAGCAGTGAAGATTGCACACCACTGTGAATGTGCTAAAAACCACTGAATTGTACACTTTTAAATGGCTAAAATGGTGAATTTTATGTTATGTGAATTTTATTGAGAGAGAGAGAGAGTCCCAGAGGGATTAGTATCTCTTTAGCCATTCAGTAGAAAGAATCTGATTGGTCCAGCTTGGATCAGGTGCCAGGATGGGACAGGGAGACACAGATCAAGCAGAGCTGAGTGGGGGGATGGTCACCCTATTGGGTGGGGACACAGTGTTCAGAGGAAAGGGGTATAGGCTGGGCAGTTGTCTTGAAAGATGTCTACTTTAAGTATAAAAAAATAGTGTTAAAGAAAATCTTGGGGGAAATAAATCACTCATAATTCTAGCATCTTAATTA